ATTGTATTTTGGTTTGGTTCCGGCATGTATGTGTGCATTAGGTAAATACGTGTGTGTTGGGTTAGTGCAGGTTGTTTAGAAGTTCTTGGGGGAGTTTTTTGGAGGGGGAGGACAGGAGATGATTGTTTGTTTTAAAGTAGATTAATTTGTTTCAAGTGATTTTTAGTGAATTTTAAGTCTTTGCTCCTGATAGAAAAACCAAGGCAGATGACTATTGAACAATGTTCTTCAGAAGAAGAGAGGGGTAATGTGTGTGGAAGATGGGGTCATGGTAAGAGCTATCCATCCTTTCCTTACCTCCAGGGAATTTTTGTGAGAGAGAGAAGATAATACTGAGTTCATAATGCTTTTAGGTTTCGTCATGCAACCTAAAACATAAATCCACACTGGAATACCAAGAACACATTTTGGAGCCTTAAACAACCTTCATGAATTCTGTTTTTTGAATGGGGTTTTTGCGTATTTTTGACTTCACCTTTTCTTTGAGCACAGTTACTTCTCTTACTCTTTAATGTATTTGTAGAGTAGTATTGCACTTGATAGTTTCTTTTAGCAGTCTTGTTGTTAGATTTGGAGTACTCCAAAGATTCATAAAAAGTCGTCAGGCTCGCTTGTCATCAGTAAGGCTGATGTTTTAAAGCCTTTTCCTGTKTATTTGCTGGTTTGTAAAAGTGAGGAATTTGGCCGAGAGGTAGCATAGAGTCAAGCAAATGTTAAGTTATTAGCATTCCGTTTAAAATAAACTCTGTTCAAATGTGTTGCTGTRCACAATATTTCTAGTTTCATTGAAACTTCATGGAATTTATAGAAACTTCAGTGGAATCAAGGGAAAAAAAATCTAAATTAAGAACTTGCCATCCTCTGTTATTTTCAGGGATGCTCATGTTGAAGAGAGCTGTTAGGAATGACATACATCCRTTCTTATAGCTGTCTATTTAAGGCTGGCTGTCTGGAAGAGGAACAAGTTTCCTTGCAAGGCTTTGCTTTGGCATTTAGCTCTCGGTAGCTGGTTCTGGAACTGGGAACATAAGTCTGTGCCGGCTGTGATGTGACTCACTGTGAAACTTCCTTCTTCCTTAGCAGCATTAGCTGTCTCTTACTATTACTGGATTATTCAGCTGCAAAGAGAGAGATGAATGGATTTGTCTGTCCAAAAAATGCTGTCAGAAAGTGCCTTGCTGATGGAGTTTGTAAAATTAGGTTGTTTCTTTTGAATATTCTTAGTTGAATAGAACTATTTCCCTTAAAAGGGAGTTATATGGAGTTTGTTGGGAAGAAAATAAGACTAAACATGAATTACTATGTTATCCATCATTGTAAAACACTAGAATAAATTGTCAGGGAGGTGGCTAGGGTGAGTAACACTTATTTTGCTGACCAGTTGAGATTGAGCCAAACATCGGAAGCAGTAGTTTTGTGGAGGTGCAATGCTGGATGGTAAAAACAACACAGTAATCATTATCACATTCCCATATGTATGTCCAAAAAAAAAAAAAAAAAAGTCTTTGGGAGAGAGAAAAAAACAAGTCTGGCTTCCAAATAATTGTGCCTCCAAAGCCAGCTATAGCAGAAGTGTCCCCATCCTGGGAGCACTCTCAACATCTGATTTTCTGGAAGTCCCTCTGCTTTAAGAGACTGGAGAGAATTAAGAAAATATTTTCTCTAAATTTCTTCTGCAAACTGCTTGATGAACTGATTCACTAGCTGTAGTGATAACAAAACACTAGTGTTTAAAAAAAAATTGTTTCTGTGATAGAATTTAGATATCTGGAAACCGCTGAATAAAATTCTTTCTGACAGGCCGTTATTTCACTGCATAGTCTGTTTCTTTCAACTGAGTAATGTAGAAAAGATCTCGAATAGAAGTGTTAGTGCAGAAGAGAATTTCTGGTGAGCCCTTCAATGGCCCAGCTGAAATGACCTTTTCTGGAAAAGGTGAGAACCCATCGGGTGTTTTCAGTGGGAATTTGATTTAATCCAGAGTAGTTGAGGAGTGAAAGGCTTTGCTTAAAGGGTKGTGGGTTCCACAGGCGACCAGAAAAACTCAGGAACAAGGAGAGAGGAAAACAAGGGAGAGGAATCCTTTGTTAGAAACAGTGTGAACCYCTGAACCACAAATAGCTGGGGAATGGAAGAGCACTAAAGGGAAGCAAGGCACGGGGTTGCTTTCATTTGAGGTTCTCCTGAAGACATCTGCTTTGGGTCACTGTTTAGGAAAAGGAGAGAAAGCTACRTGAGCCTTTGGTCTGGTACCATGCAGCTGCTTTATATTCCCAGAAAATTAAGGGAAAAAAAAATGCAGGTTTAGTTTGAACACTGTATGATCTGTTTGAGACTCTCAGTAGTTTTATACTGTAAAGTAGTGAATTTCTTTAAAATGCAGAAAAAGACAAAATATAATAAAAATATTAATAAACTCAAAAATACAGCTCTATTCATTGAAACAGATAAGAGCAGTATTTTAAATAAGAATTGGGAAGAGTAATTAGAGTAACAAGTTTTTACCACAATTTTCTGTAGTCCTTGCGTTTTTTGTTCTCTCTTTTAGCCTGCTATATTGTAGAAAGTCAGCTTCCTGCTAAATGCAATGTTTAAAATTCCCTAAGATGGTAAGGGATAAGCTACAAATATGGACTATCAGGCAAGCCCTGGAGATTTAGTTAATCTGACCTAGATGTTCTTTTGATGATTGAGACCTGCAGTATGTRAAAACACTTCTCAATTTCAAAATGAAACACAAGGATATCTGTTGTATAACTCAGCTGTCCGTGTGCTGACAGACGCATCAATCATTTCTGAACAGGAAAGGATTTACTATAAAAAGTTTGTAGCTTTGGAGCTGTGGAGTTCATTGGCATTCGGATCAGCGATGATATTGGAAGTTGTAAGTGAATTCCGCATGTGAATTTTGCCATGTCCCAAAGAGGATTAGCTACAAATGCAAGCAACATACTATTTTCTTTTTCATTTTCAAGAGCCTGTTGTGTAAGATGTTAATTCTTGACTCCATTTTCAGCATATTATATATGTAATGGCTCAGTAGATCTTAAAAAGCACTGAACAGTTACCTGTAAACCTGAATAACAGAGATAAACACAATTTTACTTTGCAGATGTTGGTTTATTTATTTGTTCTTCCRTATAGGTTTAATTTTATGCCAATTTTGAATACCTGAGAAGCCAGTATTTTTCTATAACTCCTAGTTTGACAACTATTTTTCCAGTAGAGTGAAATTCAAGTTCAGATCCTGGGYTGGGGAATTCGTGTCCTGGGGTTTGAGGGGGAACTTGCTTGTTTGCTTTGTTTTAAACTCCTTTCCATGACTGCATAAACTGGTTCGGATGAGTGACGGTGACAATGATAGGCCCTGATATTTACTTGACRAAACTTTGTTTCCTCCATCTCTAGCTAACTTAAGTATTTTGAACTGAATCTTTACGTGCTGGTTTCCTGGTGTAAGTTGAATTATCTCTCAGGAAGAGCTAATTGGTAATTACAGAAGATTTACAAAATTACGCTTTTACAAATTGAGGTGTTTGAGGAGGTGACAGGGAAAAGTATATTATTCGTTTGTGTCAAAAAGCCAGAAGATACATTAGTTCTTCAATGGTAATTATTTGCACTGTTTTGGAACAGAGATTCAGTATTTTCACAGCTTTTGTTCAAACTGCCTTTTTTTCTTCTTCTTTTCAAAATTAATGTTTGAATTGTAGAAATTGCACCTAACTTGATAACAGAAGAGGTTTCTGTCTGAACAGCTAAAGCCCTTCAAGAGTCAGAGGAGTTAGCCCGCTTCTGGAGCGGGATGAGCGGGTGCTTTCTTGGTATCACTTTTTGCTGCATTAATGYGATTCTAGACCTCTGAGCTGAAAGCAGAGTCCTCTCTTCCATGAGTGATCCAGGTGCTGAAAAAAGAGACCGGAACAGAGAAAGAAAGTAAATTTGRGTGCTGTATGGAAGTGGGGGAAAAGAGGTTTGCACACAACTCTGTTTCTGTAATTTTTAAAAATGCTGTTGACTTAGGCAGTGGAACACCTGTAATATTTATCTTTAAGAATTTTAGATTTTCTTAAACTTACTTTAAGGTATGCTGCTGTTGAGAGTGGACAGACTGATGTATTTGTGATGGTCTCTCATACAAGGTGAAGCTTCAAAGATTTGAAACTTTTCAGAGAATTATGTATCGTGTGGCTCTAGTTCACCCAAAGGAATGGATGAGCAAAGGCTCATCTAACCAGGGAAGGTTAATGACAAACATCTACAGCATATATTACATAGAGCATACGTTATATGTGTGCATATTAATGTATTAGCCTATTATGTCATTTTCTTTGTGGATGTGCTCAGAGCAAGCCTCTGCCCTTCTCTGGAACTAACTTGGCAGTTAGTACACTTAGCAGTGGCAGTTGGCTACAGTGCAGTTACTGCTCTGTAACTCAATTTTCTTTTTCTTACTGAAGAGTAGCWAGAAGTCAAAATCAAAAAATAACAGTGTTTTTAGATCTTAATATCTGCAAGAGAACTACTAATGTTAGCAGAGTACAAAATGCTGGTCTTGCTATTAAGATGTGAAGCAGATTTTTTTTCGGTTACTGAGTTTTCTTAAATACGAACCTTCTCTTGTGAAGACAGTTTTCAAACAGTTGGTATAATTCTTTACCATGAGTGTCAGGTATGGTTTGCATGGGTAATAGAAATATTCTGCTACTGCAGTAGTGGGATAAATTAGTTTTTATCTGAAACTTTTTAAACCAAGACTTTTAATTGTAGCAAACAATGTTCAAGTAGTGTCTTGAATAAAGTATGGTCACAATTTTAAATCTCTCTTAACTTGAGAGTTAAGTGGAACTTAACTTGGTGGTTTATGAACTTACAGTCTCATTTATATTAAAGAAAAATGTGTACTGTCGTTTTGACTGCAAACAGTTATATTTACATTTGTTGAGAATGTTCTAATTGAAGTTTTTCTTTCATTTTCTTCTGGAAATGTTATTTTGCAGACTCCAGGCTTGAGAGCACACTCGGGGAGGTTGCAGTGGTTTGCTAAGAAGTGCATCTCATCTAATCAGGTACACGACTCCTCGTGTCTTCGTAATTGGAACTATATTCCAAGAATAACTTTTTTGTTTGTATTTGTTTGTGAAAGGACATGTGGCACACTGTTGTGAACTTATTGTAAACACTGGTGTATATTTAAAAATAAATATTATATTAGTTGAATGTACATAAAAGATCATGCATATAAGTACATGCATATGTGTATGCATATAAGTGTGTGTAACTAGAGAGATAATTGTGTTGACTGAGTGTTACAAATATTCTTTCTTGTTTCTTTTCAAAGATGGAGATTTTGGAAAACTTGGTAGAATTAACTCAAAATCTGTTTGAGTGTGATAGAGATGAAATGTACTACTATCTGCTTCAGTTGTGTGGTAAGTTAGCACCTCATCTTGTTGTGGTCCACGTGGAATTGTTTTGTTTTGTTATAGCTGGAAATTGGAAATAACCCTGAATTGGAGAAGAGACAACCTGATGTGGAATTAGTGTGGACACATTTTGATGCTTCTTAGGTGGGAATGTTCTGAGCCAAGTTCTGTATCTGCAGAGCTAAACACAGCAGCATCACAGGACTTACACAGTACAAGTCTTTCATACTGTGTTATGTTCTAATTTGATTTGTTTATATTTGTTTCAATTTGGAACATGCTGTAATTAGATATGATTTTGAAAGGTGAATTTTTTTTTCTATCTACCTAACCAACACAAAACCGGAGAAAAAGTTTTTTTGACCGAAAGCTTTTTTTTTCCTGTTTTTCATTGTGTTTCACTGTATCATACATCATAACAAACTAGCGTTAGATTGCTGTGAACTTCAGAATAATTACATGAAGTGTAGGAAAAGAATTATTAAGGAAAAGAATTAGTAATTTGATTTACTTGTTCAAGGAAAAAAAATCACAGCAGAGTTTGAAAGAACTTCAGGCTTTTCCTTGTGTATATTCTTGGTTAATTAAACTAGAATGACATTTTTCTAGATTAATACTATTAGAGGCTCTGTTTTCATATATCAAGAAGGGTTTCCCCCTTGGATTTATCACAAACTGAAGAGATGAATGTTTCCAAAAAAAAAAAAAAAAAAAAAAAAAAAAGGCAAGAGAGAAGGAGAGAGAAGTCTGGGGATCCTATGAGAACTTCTTACTTTTTGAGCAGCCTAACAAAGTTTCAAAACCAAACTGTAGCCTCACCCAATTCTGGTTTTCCACATACTGATTCCCCATCATAAAGTAACTGGGCCTGAAAAACAATCTTGTCTCAACAGGAGGGAGTCCTCCTATCTCTTCCCAAGCAGCCCGTTCCCCTCCAGCAGTGACTCAGTCTGACAGTCTGTCTGCTGGGAAGAGAATCTAAGAAGATACAGTTTATCAAATCCTGTCACACAAATTCTTCAGTCAGCAAGAAAAGACACAACCAATTTCATCTACTCAAAGAGGTGGAAAACGTTTGTGGCTTTCTGTCACCATGAAAGACAAAAACCATGCACATTCCTGCTTTCAACCATTTTAGATCATCTGTCAAAGCTGCCCCGTGCAGAAGTGTGTAAGAGTTGTCAGCGTGTGCCTCAACCAGAACTTTAGATCTATTTTAAGTATAATGAAATAAAAATCTACAGTGAGTCCAAGCTGTGATCCAAAGGGGTAAAAACAAAACATTCTTTTAGATAGAATCACATAAAAATTTGTCTTAGAGAGAACCTCAGAAGTTTGTCTAGGCTAAACTCAAGCTTTGAGCTAGAACAACTTGATAGATAGATGAGATCATAGCCTTGTCTAGCCAAATTTTGAGCCTGTCCAAGGGGCAAAGTTGGCCTCCCTGAATGACCCATTCCGGAGTTAGACCAGCCTCAGAAATTCCCTAGGTAAATTTTTTAACTGTAACTTCTTCTCCATTGCTGTGCATCCCCAAGAAGAGTCCAACTCAGTTTTCTTTATAATCATTGATTGTAAAGAAAGGAGGTTGAAGGAAATTGAATTCCCTGTTAGCATGTTCTTTCTAAGTCGTACAAAATGCATCTCCGTCAAGTTTTACTATATTTGCTTGAAAACTACTGAAATATTTTGATGACTGAATTTGGCCGAGCTGGCAGCATCTGGTTTGTCAAACCCAAAACTGGGCACAGAACTCTAAATCTGGCATCCTGAGTGCCAAATAACGGGACAAACACAGGAAAAACCCTAATCCCTTCTCTGTCTCTCTTTAAACTGCCATAATAATCTGTCCATAAAAAAAAGTAATCTCTATCATTCATTTCTTAAAGCCAATCATCTTTTTGGCTCAAGTCACTGAGTTTACCACCTTTTCTACAAAGCTGAAGTGAGCAAGTTTAATATGAGGGAGGATTTTTCTTTCCCAGGACATCCAACTCCTTTGTTTGCAGTTTTGTACAGCTTTGTTCTTGTTGAGATCTGATGAATTGGCCTGAGTCTGATAGTAATTTTGTTACATTTTTGAGACTGGAGGAAAATTGCAATATTTTAGAGAAATTCCTGTTTACTTGGAAAAAAATTTGTTTTTTCTTTATGCATCTGYGTCTTTTGATATTTTCTATACGTTAAAAATGAAACGGGAACATTTCGGGTTGATTCACATATGAAAAAGAACTGCGTAATTAATTGATGAAGTATTTACAAAGATACCGTTTCTGAATCTCTGGATAAGCGCATATACTGCAAATGTGCTTTGGTTTGAAGACTTGAATCTCTTTTTCAGACAACAATGGTGACTGGGAAAGGGCTGAAGCTATTTGGACTAAAATTCAAGAGGAAAATGTTGTTCCTCGTGAGAAAACATTAATCTTAATGGCTAATATACTTGAGAAAAATGGTCAGGCTGTCCCATTTGAGGTGCCTAAGGTAATTTGAGTTTAACTTGATTGGCACGTTGTGCTGTGCCAGCAGTACTTTTGCATGTGTTTCTGCCTTTGGAAGGTGTTAACAAACAGCCTCACAAACTAACCTCTTGTTTTAAAGCCTAGACAAGAAGGTTCTCTGAGTTCAAGTGCTGCTAATTTGGAAGAAAGAAATATAAGGACGCTTTGCAAGAGAAATAATGCAACAGGTAAACGGGAGTTCTGGGATTTCTGTTTTTCCTCTCGGCATTACGTGTGGTTAGGTACAGAGCAGCAGTTAGGTAGCAGAGCAGCATAGTAAATGATGAGGTACACAGCAGCAGGTTGCCAACTGATGCTAGTAAGTTAGTCTGCTTGAATTTTTGTAAGGATACCTGATGATGTTAGGTGGCAATGTTTTGCTTGAGTAATTTGATATGAGAAGTACCAATGCTAAAATGTTTACAATTTAATTTGAAGTGCTGGTGTTTTGGTGTTTCTAAGTGATCTTTTTAGATTTATAAATACAAATATCCAAGTTATTTTCTTCTCCAAGTGTCATCAACAGATTTTACAGCTTTTTACCCACAGATTTATAAGGTTTGAGTTTCAAAGAAGAGTATTCATTAGTCATTCATACAGTTAACTTCAGTTGGTGGTGAGATGGCACTGGTGCTACAGTTGCAAGAGTGCTCCTGAGAAGTATAAACTGGTGCATATCCTATATATAAGGAGTGCAAACCTATATTCTGTGTGGATTGTGTTTGAGAGCCGTATTATGGCAGACATAAGGATTTCCTGAATATGATTGCTCATCTACGGACACTTCAGTTTTCAGAAGAAAAAAAGTAGTTTTTAATTTAGTTCTGAGCACACCTTTACAGATGCTGCTGCTCTTACCTGGGCAGCGCACTGCGATGGGCAGAGAAGCTCAATCACTGACTTTGACAGCGCCAACGCTGCTGTAGTGTCAAACACTCAGCATGGTTTCTCTCTGTGCCTCTCACGTGTGCATGAAACTCAGTGATACATCGAGATGGATTTAGTTTTTATTGTGGCATTCCTGTTCTTTTATGTTCATATATATTTCGTGTGACTTAAAGTGTCCCTAGCAGCGTTTGGGTGGCAGTGTTAACTCTTAATACTAACTTGAGAAATTTTGTTGTAAACAATGAATTTCATATGTAGTTCTTTTTTTTGTCTACATTTTTTGGAAATTTTTAATAGATTCTATTTAATTTAAGAAGTTCAACTAAAAGGAATACCAACAATTTTGATTTTGAAAATGTCAACTTAAATCTTAACAGCACGCTGTAGTCAATGATGTCAGTATCATCCTTCTTGTGATAGAGTAAGATCATTTGTTTTCATTTTTGGTGGCAAAAGATAAGAAAAAGAAACTTCTCCCATAGCTGTTAAAGTTGTTGTGCCACTCAAAGTATTTCTGAAAAGTTATTTTCAAGATTTTTTGTGATTTAAAGCTGAATTAGCAAGCTAGTTATTTTTTGACTTTTCTTACATGAAACAATTAAATAGCTTTAGTTGTTAAAGATCATTTGAGGTTCTCAGCACAGCTTTCTAGCATTCCATACTGCCTAGATAGCAGTTTTAGCTGCATGTTTATAGCTGCATAATCTTGTTTCAGAAAAATAAATGACTGAAAAGTGTAGTTATCATTTTTTCTCCTTTTTGGTAACATCTTTTCATACACTGACAGTTATTGTGAATGCATGAAATAAAACTGTTAATCAGTCAAACAAATGCAGCGTAGTTTACTTGTTAAATATCTGTATATTTGTAAATTGTATGTTTTGTATAAATCTTGTCGTAGCCAAATAATTTGATCTCCCCATATTGGAATCACCTCCTATATTATTTGTTAAATGCTGTTGTGATCATGCGCTAGACACTGTAACTATATACCCCAGAATTAGGTGCTGCTTTAAAAATCCTGAGTCTTCCCCTTCTAACCAGTTGCGTGAATATTTAAGAAACAGCTACATATAGGAAAGCAGCAGCAGCACAGTTTGTYCTGTGGAGAAGGGTGTTAGTTGTTATGAATAAACAACTCTGAACAAGCTGTGTGAACAGCAACGTTGGGCACAAAGATGTAACAYGAGGACAAATAGATTAAGATGGAGCTTTTCGATGAGAGAAAAAAAAAAAGTAGCTTTTTTATGTTTAAAATCATTACAACCTGACACTTTATTTGGGCTCTTCCCTTTTTTTTTTCTATTTTTTTAGAGGCCTACAGTATTTTCCAGGAAATGAAAGAGAAGAATGCGCTTAGCCGTCATGCTTACATCCTATTAATAAAAGCACTATTGTCACAGGGTCTTATTGAAGAAGCCATGAAAGTGAAACRCACGTAAGGCTTTTCTTTCATTTTGGATTTTTAGTTGTTGTTATTTTAGTTATTATTTATTTTGTGTAGTAATTACTGGATCAATTTCAGGTAAGTCCTAGTCCCTTGAAAGGCAAATGGACCGTGACTGGGAGCTAGGCATTTTGGTAAGAAAGGGGAAAGCTCTTCAAAGAGGCTTCAAACTCTCTATCCAAGGCTTGTGCATGCACTGAATGTTTCCATGCCCATCAGCTCCAACACTCCTGGAAGGAAGACATGCAAAATATCACAGGTGTTAGCAGCAGCAATTTGCAGTTAGCAAAAGTAAAGAGAAGGTGGTAGTTTGTTTCCAGTATTTTGATCACAATTCTCATTACAGATGATAAGAAAAATGTTTTGGAATATCCTCATGCAAAGTGAAATGGGGAGATCTGAAGACTAAATGAAGTTTGAGCGTGTTTTTAAGGACTGGAAATATACTAAGAAATGTCAAGATATTTGGGGAGAATGACAATTTTCTAGATCACTAGTCAGAGCCAACTGTAGTAGAATCTTTGTGCTTTTCAAAACACTCATATTCAATCATATAGCATAGAAATGCCAAATAATAACATTCTGAGAAGCCTGCAGCAGTTTGATTTCACCTGTAAAGAGAAGACAGAGCATTCTTAATATAGATAGTGTTTGTGGTGTTTATTTGTGTCTCTGTTTTCTTGTAAGTCATGCTTACGTTAAGCATTTTGGAAAAAAACTTTTAAATTATTCACTTTATGTAAAGTGATTGTGTGTGTACATACAGGTGAGGAAAAGCAAATCTGTGCATTTCATACATATTTCTGCATGCTTGACAATTTTACCAACCTCACATTACAAAGAGATAAYTCCTGCAAAGCCTAAATGTGTGCAGTGGCCTGAAACTTGTGCAACTCCCAATATTTTCATAAAATATATGAAAACTACCTTCATTTGTGTAAGCTAACATCATTTTCTTTGTACTCTGTTTGAAGGCAAACTTGAAATTTAAATACCACTCGGAGAGCCTGAAGGTGTTTTATTAGCAGAATGCGTATTAGTATAGGCAACAAAATAAGTAATTTTTGCCTTCAAAAAAAGGTTACATTATTTTAAAACCTGGTTTCTGTTATCAGAACTGAGAAACGTTAATGAGAAAGTGATTTTGTTGTAGATGGAAATTGCACTCCTATTCAGTATTGGGGGAAAAAAAAGCCCTAGCAGGTTGCTGATCTGTTGGTGAGCCCCTGTCTGGTTGGCTCGGGATTCTAGTTAGTTTTAGGGAATATTTACTGCATTTAGTCCAAGAACTTTTAAATAGAAATTTAGGAGTATTGGAATGATGGATTAGTTCTGTAATAGTAGCTAACATCTATTTAATCACACTGAAGATTGGAAGATTGGAGAAAGTAAATCCTTTGTTATATGTAATTTACAGTCTCATGCATGAATTGTTGACTTAAGGGCTTTGACAGATGGGACAAAGGAAAAAAAAGGCGGAACTGAGCAGTGGGTGCTTAGGCAGGGATTAAGAGGATTGGTTGGGAGAGTAAGAAAATCCTGAGTCCAGTGACTGCATATGTGAGCCCTGGAGGCTGAAAGTGACTGAGAGGATAGTCATATTGTGTGCTATGGGAAGGATTTTCTTGGGATTGAGGAGAATAATTTAGCRATGACCCTGCTTACCTCCCAATCCGCTCAGCATGCGAGTTCAAGTAGGTAGGCTGCTCAGTTGTTTGCCACAAGATGATCAGTGAGGTTTATCTTGATTGCTGATATGGTAAATGGCAATGCCCTGCTTTTCTGGGGAGCGATTTTGTAATCTAGAAATGAACATTTGTAAAGTTATCCTGCTGTATTAAAAACGTGGCTCTGTGTCATGTAGGAACTGGAACCTTCTGTAGTAAAAAATAAACGTGATTGCTGGTTACTCTCCTTTGACTAATTTCTGTAGTCACGGTTCCTGAAAAGCTCTAATGGTGTTATTAACGTACACGTTCTCCTTACTATAGATAGGCCAAGTTTTGTATTGTAGGAGATGGAGAATTGATAAGTGAAATACGATTTTAACRTGGCTAAGGCAGCAAATGTAGTATGTTCTCTTTAAAAACTGTATACATCTAGATGACAGAAATTTTGAAAATTAATCAACCAAATGATACGGTGTTAGTTCATAATATGCTTTAGTTTATGTTTAAAATATACAGTGCTGAAAATAAATGTTTCATTTTTTTATTGCTGAAAGAATAGTTTTACATTTTATAATTATGGTGACTATTGAAAAAAGAAGAAAAAGTATCCAGCTTCGGATACAGCAGAACAATGCAGGGCATGCAGTTATTTTAGTCATCTAATATGTCAGCATTCAAGAATCTGAACCGATTGTTTAAAAAAAATCTTGTACTTTGTTTCTTTTGTTGCTCACTTCCAACTTTGTCATCTGTCAGAATGCAAAAAAAAATTATCCTTCTATAACCATTGACAGGATAACACAAAAGCTGTCTCCAGGTCGATATTTTGCAGCAATATTTTTAACATACGAACAGTAGTTTTTATAATTTCACCTTGGTGCTCAACCATTTATTATCGTATCAGAAGCATGTCAGTAATTCCTTTCTAAATGTCTGCTTCTTTTAGTGCTGAGACCCACATCAAGGGCTTCACACTGAACAGTGCTGCCAGCAGCCTCCTCATCATATCGCAAGTTAGGCGGGATTATTTGAAAGGTATGTCACAATGCTTGACCTTTACGTCACATTAATGCCTCTGCAGATTTTTCTTGTAACGCCCTTCGAATACTTGGATAAAGGAGTCCATTTAGCAAATTACCTGCTTATCAAGAGCCTTTTGTGGTAGCTGAGAGACGTAAATTACTGTACATGCATTTATAATACAGCTTGAATATGAATGTACTTGTCATTTGACCACTTAGTCCAGTTTCCATTCCATTTAACACAAGATGGGTTTTCTTAAGATGAATCACAGCTCTTCAGACATGCAAAATTTGTGCTCCAGAACGAGAGAAAGTACAGGCTTTCAAGTGCGTTAAAATTCACAGCACAAGTCATTTTGCTTTGGAAATTAACATACTTTAGAGCATCTGAAACAATTCCCAGCAGTTGTTTCTTGCATATTGTGGTGGTTGTGTGAGATACCAGATAAGTTAAATTAAGTGTTAAATGTGCAGGGTTGTGCGCTAAATGATTATAATATTGATTTAAAAACTTAATCAAATACTTTTTAATAGTTCTCGATACCAACAGTAACAAWATGAAATTCATTTTGCCTTTTTTTAACTACAGTCATAATGATACTAATGGCAGGTGAACAGCGTGTGAGGGAAGAACAAGATGGTGTCTAAACTTTGTTGCTGTGCTACTTCAGTTCTCAGCAGTGGTTGTTTTGCACTACTAAGTCTTTAGTTCTGTAGTACTACATGTTACCTCCTGCTTCAATTCTTCTGTGGAACTCTTGCAAGAGGAAACCTGTGAGCACATATTTTCACCTGGAGCACTGTGACTTTGATCTCTGTACAAATACAAGTACAAGAGTGTTGATGCACATTTCCAGCAATTTCTTTAAAAGTTAAAGGAGCTACATCTGAATAAAACTCACTGAACTGAATTAGGTCTTRCCTTCAGAAGAGAAGACAGGGAAAAATCATTTTTGATCTTGCTATTAATTAATTTTAATTTATTCCTGTGCAGCTATGATAGCGTATTCCCATGTAATATCAGCTACATTAAAATACTCTGACGAGCATTTGGGTACGTCTTCTCACTTGCATTCTTTTCTGCAGCCGGTAAACTTGTCTTTCAAATTCCTTCCCCGTTCAGTCTCCAGTCTGATGTCACTTCCAGGTACTGGAACTGAGGTAGACTGAAGTATTCGTGGTGAATGCAGTTGCTTCTCTTGTTGCTGTCAAGTCCTCAGGTTTTGCAGCTTTCAAGTCCTCTACCTGACAGTCCTGTTTGATTCTATTCTAATCAACCTTCTGCTTTTTCCTCTGTCCAGTATGTCACTAAAATGTGAATTCTTTCCAAATATTACAACTAAATTTTCTCTTCATAACATCACTGATATTTCTGTATTTAGACAATCCCTATCTATGACCCCTTTTAGCCACCATCCTGGATGYCAGCCTACCTCAACCCTGTCCAGGGGCTACGCTAAAAATGTTTCTTCTTGCACAAGACCAAGTTTCCCGAGAAGTGACAGCAATTACATGGAGTTTTGCTCTTACTTTCTTCTGTGTTTGTGCTTTGGCATTGAGGAGACTTCTCTTTCATAAGAGAAAATGAATTAATTGATAATTTAATTGAATACCCACAATGATCTTTGCTTCTATTTTCATATTCAAGAGGCTGCTTCTCTTTTTGTAAATGATACCCTGAAAATGTGTGTGGAAARCCACTATATATCTCAACCATAGATGATAAGTGATGCTCAGAAAATTTTATCCAAAAAATTTTAAGGAAAACTTCTTTTTTTGCTTTTGTTTTTCTCTTGTAACCTTAACAGTGATGCTGCCTGTTGGGCCTGCCTGCTGTGATGGCAGACACATCGCACAGGCTCTCACTTCTGTGAAACTTGCTTGCTTTACCACATCCTCACACAGTTTGCYGCCCTTCTTTGCTGTGTAGCTTGCTACACACATTTTTATGTAGTTCCTTATGTAACTGTATCCTCAAAAGAACTCATATAATACCTTGTAGCAAGAACTCAGTTAAAAGAAGATTATGTGAAGAGTGAAAGCTTGAGTTTTATGGTTTGGAATTTGCAGGCATTATAGGTAAGCCTTTTAAGAAGGAAAAAATGTTAGGTTTTCACAAGCTCGTAGGTACCTGCCCTTAGCTGTTGAAATATAATGGGATGAAGTTATGAACCTGCCCTAGAAGTAATGAGTGTTTTTTGGTCTTTTTAAATAAGAAAATGAAGATACCGGCAGAGTATCTAATACGCTGCCTATGGGTAATCTCGTGCAGTAGTGCTGCATGCATCCAACTCCTGACTCTGTCCTTCATTACAGGGAAAGCTGGTCACGTTGTSTGAAGGGAGGTCTCTGATCATGACCAGGAGTGAATTTGAATTTAGCCTGTGTTTAAGTTTGCTTTATTAGGTTCTGGGAAACTTGCCTTTTATTTTTTTCTTCCTTTTTTTTTTTTTTTTCCTTCCCCTAAATAATAAAGCAAAAAATGAGGGCAAAGAGGCAATTTGCTGTGGAGATTGGGTATACAGGATATTTTTTCTTTGCCTCTTTCTCCTGTACAAGGTAATACTTGGTTTCTTTAGTACCCGCATATTGAATTTGAATGTTAATGCTGTGGAGCTCAAGTGGGTGTATATTATGTTGGAAGTGTTATCCCTTGGTATTATAATTATTATCTGTGATTAATCCTGCCTGTGCTGGGAAGGAGTGAGAGGTTTTTACCAGAGGGGCCTGCCTTTATGCATGTGTGTTTGCTCACGTATAATGTCACCTGACAAGAATCCTTGTGAGAGGAACGAGAGTGACTGTTCTGCATCAGATTTGGGGAGCTGGTGGCAAGCAAATTATTCTGTGGTTTAAAAATAGGCAATTGCCACCTTTTAAAAATGTTTCTGTAATAATTGTCCAGTTTTTAACTTGCTTATTCTTACTTTTATATGGAGACATGTGTACCACATATGCATTATGTGGTTTTATTGAAAATTTAAGTGTTGGTAAATAAACTTCTGAACATTTAAGGTGACAAATCTGAATATTAGGCTTCAGCATTTTAACAATGAGTTAAGCATTAAACAAGATACTTATTGTCAAATACATAATGTCTCTGGTGTCCAATAAAGAAAATTTGTGATTGTTTTGATGAAAAACAGACTGAAAATATTATGGCTGTARCTATGGACATGAGGGCATTTGTAATATAGCTGCTTGCCTTGAACTGCACATTAAAATAAAATAATTACCTCTTGAATGTCTATTAATACTCTTAAGTGAGCGAGTATTAAATGTTTTTATCCTAAATTGCTGTTAGAAAGTTTTATTTATGTATACATATCTGTTAAAATTCACTATAACAATTTTGGAGCAAAACTTGACCTAATAAATTATTTTCTATATATGTTTTTGCATAGCAATTAAAGGGGAATAGTATCAGCAGTGAGATCAGCATCTGAAATAAACTCTGAATTCCTTTTCTCCTCTTTTCTCCTCTTTACTAGATGCCATGGCTGTTTTAAAAGGAATGCTTGACAGCAGCCTGCTGCCTTCCAGAATAGCTACTTCGAGGCTTTCTCAGGCTCTGGCAATGAAGGGAGATGTGAAGAACCTACAGGCACTTGAAGGCATGGTGGAAGACATCGCAAAATCAATTGATTTATCTCCCTCGCTAGTCATGAATTGCATTGCACTGGCTCATGCTAAGAAGTAAGTTGTTCCCAGGACGGGTGTGTTTTTCCTTCAGTCAAAGTGGTTGGAAGTTCCTTCACAACGTGACGGAACAGTTAGGAACCTCTGGAAGTTACTAGTCCAGTCCTGCCCTCAAGCAGGGTCACCTGGAGCATGTTGTCCAGGATGGTGTCCAGGTGACCTCTCCAAGGAAGGAGATTCCACAACCTTTCCAGCTAACCTGTTCCAGTGCTCAGTTACCCTCATAGTAAAGAAGACTTTTCCTCCAACATCCCGCCTCTCTTCTACAGACTGAGCAATCCCAGCTCTTTCAGCCTTTCCTCACATGAGAGATCCTCCAGTCCTGTACTCAACTTAGCCGCTTCTGCTGGATTCACTTGTCTCCTATGTATAGGTGAGCCCAGAACTGGAAAGGGGACTCCACATGCAGCCTCCCCTGGGCTGAGGGGAGCGACAGGCTTGCCTYGTTTAGCCTGCTGCCAGGGCTCTTCCAAGGAGACCCAAGGTACCATTGGTCTTCTGGCCCCAAGGGCACCGTGCTGGCTCTTCGTCATCCCCAGGTCCTGCTCAGCAGGAGCTGGCAATGGCTCAGCCTGTGCATGGGTTATTCCTCCCCACAGGAAGGACCCTGCACTTCCCTTTGTGAAACCTCCTGAGGCTCCTCTTTGTTACCTACTTCTCTTCTCTTAGTGTCTTAGATGCTAAAATTCTGCTGCTGGACTTTCAGTTCCTGTCTGGTCTTGTTCTACAAACATAGTTGGAGTTAAAAATCATTTAACAAAATACAGGGATAGCATCAAGTTCTCTCCAGTACTGTAACTTAGTTTTCATACTGTTCTTCTAATATTTTATACCTCATGCAAAGTGTTCTCTTTAATGTCAGGTGAAAAATCTTAGTGCTGAATTCAATTACTTTGTAAATTTAATTTTAAAGTCTCAGAATTTAGTATGTGTCTGTTGAAAATATAATATTAGCTTTAAAACAACTTGAAAACTGTTTCAGCAGTCAAAATGATAAATTGATGGTGTTCTTACCCTCAAAATGTTCAAGCCAAGTGTATCTGTGATCGGTGACATGATTTTAGCACTTTTTTACAATAGAAATGTATTTGAAAGAAAAATATTTGCCGGAGTTCCTATCATGATGATTATCCCCACACTTTAGATATCCTTGATTCAAATGTTTCGTTTCATATCATAGCAGGCCTGGCTGTTTTGYTCATCCGTTGGTTCTATGCTACTTGCTACGCTACCCTCTGTGCTACTTTAACCTGTGTATAAAACTGAAGTGGGTTGCTTGTTGGAACGAAGGGGGTAGTGAGCTTCCCAAATATACTTCGTAGGAAGTAACTATGTAGCTATACATRTATACACATATATAAATAGTTAATATAGTTTTATAAATATATAGTTTATATATAGTTATTATAGTTTTTAATATATATATATAAAATAAATACGAGGTTT